GCTCCAACAAGAAAAAATATGTAGTGCACTAAAAGTATATATAAAGAATGAAAAATGAAACTTGGCGATAAAAGGAGTTACGGCGAGTTTATTGCCAGTTCTTCTCGTTCGTTCTGCGCCCTTGATTTGAGAACTAATAGTAAATGTAAAGGTAGATTCTTTAGTTTTGCAAACGTAAAAAGACCACATGAATAAATGATATTTCACTTTTAATTTTTTTACAACCGTTTTTATGTTAATAATTTGTGGTCTTGACTTCATAAGGCTAGTTACTCATATGATGGAAGACATCATGCGTTTCAGTAGTTTGAAGCATATCCTAATAACACTTTGTTGTGCAGTCCTAGGTCCGAATGCTGGGCGACTAAATACACAGTTTCACCGGGGAGCAGAAGACGTACGTCTAATGTTAAAAAGTAAGACGAATATTGTATGATTCAAATATCACAAAAGGTTGTTTGCGTGTGATGATTTAAGTTTTAAAACGCACACAACTTTTGCTTATACATAGTAATGCAATTTATTTTTCTATCGATTATATAGCACAGTACATATTTTCTGTCAAGTGCGAAATAATACCCACAAAACAAATTAAAACAAAAATATTTATTATCAAAGGTAAGTAAATCAATACCATATTACTTAAATACAACAAGAAAACAAAAGTATTAATTAAAAACGATTAAAAATAATTATTCACATTTTAAACCAGTTTTCAGAATAAGGGCGTAGAACAAACAAGAAGTGGCAAGAAACTCGTCGTTGTGTCATTTTTCAAAGTTATAATTATCTTAATATATATAGTAATAACAATAATGTGATTCATTACGGTGGCTTATTCAAATATAAGACAAAAGCGCCTTGTTTTGATGTTATTTGCCTTTTTTAGGATAGACAAGTAAACCCTGTGCTTCTTAGCCTTCGTCGTCGTCTATTAAAAAAAATAAGCGGAGCAGACCGTATTACATTATAAGATCAATTATACTGAACAAACGGTAAGTGATAAAAAGATAAATCCGTTCAAATAAAGAGCAACGGAAGTAAATATTTTATAAATAAAACAATCTTATCTCTGTACGTATCGTAGATATTTGGCTAGATTTTAACGTTACGCGTAACTCTACGTCACTATTGTTGTGCAATGTTATTAGTGCGTAAAATATTTACATTATGTAACTAATAAGTTTGTTTTACTAGCCTTCACCCGCGACTTTGTCTAAGGATTAATTTAATTATAAAGATAAAAATGTCTAATTGGCAATAGTTATTTTAAACTAAATATATGTTGTAGGCTATATATATCGGCTTAATCTTAGTCTATCAATAGTTTGACCTCTATGGCTAAATGGTTAAACGTATTGCCTAGCATTGCGTTAATCGGGAGAGGTCCAGAGTTCGAATCCCAGGTCAACAAAAATTGTTCCAGTCGGGCAGGGCACAGAAGTCTGATCAATTACTCGTCTGTTAAAGAACGAATCAGTGAAACGAACACAAAAATGTGTCCGCCCTGCCCCATGCCCCATGCCCCACGAGGGGGAAACGGGATTTCACTTTTAGTCTATCAATAGTCTAATGATAGCAATGTATGGCTAATAATTGAACGGGTTTTGGGTTCGATTCGCACCTGGTAAAATATGTTTGTAATAAATTAATAATTTTTCCGGAACTTTTAAATAAAACATTAACGGTTTAAAACGCGATAGATATTGATTAAACTTTTTTGCAAATTATTTTAACTTCCGAAACTTGTTGGCTCAGTACCGAAATCTGGATTATAAAGAAAGTCAAAAATGGTAAAGCCGTCAAGATTGATCACGCTTCGGTGTCATTACCAAATATTTAATACAGACGTAACTCGACATAGCCCTTTATATTTTACTAGCTGTGCCGGCGACTTCGTTCGCAAGAATCGTTATTTTGGGCATCGATATTTTGTTGAATACCTCTCCTACACTTATAAATCTAAGGTGTAACCTACGACTTTGGTCGCTCGTCGGTTTTACAAGTTAATCTTTAAAGATAGACATATAGTGTCGCGGACATTGTTTTAGACCATCAAAGAGAAATCATTCTCTCGTACATATTTTTTGGGTATCTTGAAACGTTTTTGCAGTGTACGCAACGATAACCCACAGAGATGAATAATTTTCCCCCGTTTTTTTGCTCGTATTAGTCACAGCACTATGTTTTATAGCCTCAACCTTCCTCGATAATTCCTTTTTCTTCCTCTAACCAACACAATAATTTTTCATTTCGAACCAGTTCTTGAGATTAGCGCGTTTAAACAAACAAACTGGAAGGAGGAAGGCTATAGGCTATCGAGGTGTGACTAATAGGAGCGAAGAAACAGCGCGAGACGTGAAAAAAAAGGGGGGGGGGAAATTCATTTTTCTGTGTTTCTGATGCGAAATGGTTCAAGACACCCAAAAATATGTATGAGAGAATGATTTGTCTTTAAATGATCTAGAAAAAACGTCCGCAACGCACTATGTCTATCTTTTAAGATTACACTTTCAAGAACGACGGGACGCGACCGATGTCGTGGGCAACAACTTAGATTTATAAAGATGAAGAATAGGTTTTGCAAAGCACAAATTTGGGTGCCCAAAATAACGCGGCTGAAGTCTCTGATGCTAGCTCCGTGTTAAATAAAAATAGTTTGCGCGAGAGTTGAATGTAGTAATGTAATGAAGAAATTGGTTAGAGCAGCGACACGGAACGCTGTGACTGCCGGTTCAAGCCCGCAAGTACAATTTTTCAATCTCAATCTTTGACCGTAGTTCAAGCCATTTTCAAATAAGTTTAACTTATTAATTTCGCGTTTTAAACCGTTGAAGTGATTTATTTAAATTGATATAACGTCATGTGCATGAAAAAAAAGTTTTCACAGCTTAGATTATTTAGACAATGCGATGAGATGCGCCGTCGCCCTATTTAGGCTTTGGATATTTGGAAACCCACAGGCTGCAACCGAAACGCAATTAAACTTCACGGCCATCTATATCCATATATGTTCATCTATGGTGGTTCGTGACCCGAAGGGAATTAAAACCTGGTGCAAACCCACGTTGGACCAACGTGTCGGTCATATTCTCATTTCTCTCCATCCCAGCCACGTGACACACGATGTGATAACTTTCTTACGATTTACCTCGCAACAGCATTTGAACTTTTATCGGGGGGGTGAATGAACGACGAAATTTGGTGGCAACAGCCAGGAATTGGAGCATTATTCCTGACCTCCGACCTCATGTTATGAGATCCGCCAAGATTATCCAAGTAAACTGTTGTTATTTCATTATTTAATTCTGCATAACTTAAATTTAATTTAATAAACAATTTCGCTTAAGTTTAGTAAAATGGTCTATAACGGTTTAAAACGCGTAATGTTTCAGGTAACTTGCAAACTGCACTTGCAGCTAACATCCAAACCTAAATTTTTAATAAGTTAACGAATACATTTCGCGTTTTAAACCGTAAACGTGCATTATATTGATTAAGCACTAAATACTTTTAAATTATAAAATTCTAGCAAGAGAATTGCAGAGGGCGCTTTAGTCGCGTATAAAAAAAATATTTTGTTGATTTATTTTTAACATTTTTTCTTTTTATTTTATGTCTTTGTTAATTTTGTATGTAAACATTTTGTATTGTGTCCGTTTAAATATGTACTGTTCTACTACAAATGTCAAGCGTTGGGCATCACTGAAAATCAGCGTTGTGCCTACTTCCAAATACAAAAAAAGCTGAGTGGTGTCACTCTACATCTATTTTATTACTTATGTTATTTTATTTTTCTGTGTGGAATCATTTGATTTGATTTGAATCTTTGATCTGCTTTCACTCTAGTAATTTTTCCAGTTATCAATGTCGCTGTGTACTTGAATCTTAGTAAAATAAATTTATTTGGAGTTGGTAAACAGTCATCTGATTCAATAAAATCGTAAGAGAATTCACGTAACAAGGCGTCACTAGGTGACGCTTAACTGATGCAAAATCGATTGAAATTACGTCAACTTGACTAGTTGACTGCCTATGTATCTCGGGGAAACGTATAAATTAAAAAAATACTTTTAACTGTTTGATACGGAAATACTTTTTTATACCTTAATTATTTATAACCCATACTAAGGAAAAAACACAAAAAGCGCCCTTATCGCTTAACAGCGACCTCTTCCAGACAACCTGAAATACAGGAGGAAAGAAAAAGACTTATTAAGTGGGTAGTTACTTATTTATTATTATTACGCTATTTATTTATTGTTACTACTGGCTGAGGTTTCCGATGCTTTGCACCAGTCAAGGTCACAGGGGACTGCTAATAAAAATAAGTTACTTAATATACTTCACGTTTTAAACCGTTGAAGGTGTTTTGTTACTTAATTACTGAAAATACCTAATATGTGTTTTGCTGGGCAAAGTACAGACACCTGATCATTTGAATTTTGGACCTCATGTTCAAACACGACCTGATTTAAACGTCATCATAATTACATCATCTTACTCACAAAAACTTACATCAAACATAGGCGCCATTATAAAATCATTGACTATCGAATCCCGGAACTAAACTTTCGGTCCATCTGGGCACAGAGGCTCATAGATAGAATTAAATTTACTCGTTAATACTCAAATATGGTATTGTAACCCTTGACCACAATTGTGGTATTGTAAACTGCCAACCATAAGTTAACACAGTCCCCAAACCCTCATTTGAATCCTCGCAATAAACCGCTCAGGTCAATAAAACAAAACACAAAACGCAAAAACAAATATACATAATTTATTGGTTCGTATCTCAAGTCCATTGTCCATCAGTAGAGCTATCAGTGACCTCAAGAAACCGACGGAACACCCCTTCGGCTTTGGAACATCCGTCCATATAACCGACGGGGTGGGCCGCGCGGCCACAGTCGCGCAGCGCCAACCATCTAGTCCGCACGCATGTGTCTTTATCTCCTTGCATACTTCAACTGCCTGAGACGAAGGAATCTACCAGGATGAGTCGTGTGATCGTGTTCTTTGTTCTAGTCAGCTTCAGTATGACGTGGGGGGAGATGGGAGCGTGCGGGAACTGTGTTAACGGGGATCTTAGTGTCACAGAATTGACGGAGGCGAGGATCCAATTTATTAAGCAGCAGATATTGAAGAAGTTGCGGCTGAGCAAGAAGCCGGCTGTAGCTGTGCCAGTGAATAGTCTGCCGATGCCGGTAGCTCAAGGGCAGACGTTGAGCCAGGGGTCTGATAAGCCGCCGGAGTTCGACGACTACTATGGCAGAACTGAGCAGAAGATTATCTTTCCTGTCGAAGGTGAGTACTGCGCGTGTTTGACTTGTGTAATAGTGAAATCTCGCGAGCATATTTCTGTGACTGTTTCACTATTAGGTTCTTTTACAAGTATTGATCAGACTTCTGTGCATCATGATTCAAACCCAGGACCTCTTGCGCCTAATACAATGCTATGTGACACGTAAAAAACTCAACTCTACACTAAAATGCTATGAGAACTGGAAACAGACTGTATTATCCCAATTACAAAATATATTCTCGAATTATTTGGGTACTAGGAATATCGAAGTTACCTCGGGGTCACGAAGAACCGCGTTCCGGTTCAGTCTGTGGAAATCAAATATCACATATCCAAAATAGGAGGCGCATATCGTTTAGACACTATCTGGCTGTCCATCAAATAAACCCCTTGACTGCCCTCCTGTATAATTAAAAAATAGATAATCATTGTTAACAGACAACGGTCTACCAAAATTTAACGGAAGCAAATTGCATTCTTTAATTTAAAATATAAACTTATAGATTACAAGTGAGAGTAGGCGGCCTTATTTGCTAGCATGCGATTTCTTCCAAGCAACTACATGGACTTAAATAGATTTAATATAATTATGTTCACGATTACTCCTATTATTATCTTAGTGTCATCTTAGTGTAAAGGAGATATTATAGTATTTATCATTTATATCTTAATAGGAAGCGCGACACTAAGATCTTATGAACTCCAGTAATCTATTATCGCTACTTAAATTACTATATAAAACACGTAAATGGTGTTTTTATTAATATTAAAATCATATGTAGCAGTCCTATGATGTTTTGTACAGAACAGAAAAGCACGGTAATTTAATGGAAAGCGATATACTTCCGCCATAAAACTTCTAGACGAGATGTGTTTGTGTGTGTATGAAACATGTTAAAAAAGCATTTCCTATAGTTTACGCGAGTCTTACATATTTGGATTGTAAAAACAAAAAAAACAGTTTAAAACGCAACGTATGCAATCACAAGTTGTCGTAAATTATATGTTAAATTGTAGAATTATGTACTGTCTGTAGTTTACGCGAGTAGTACAGCCTGTACATCGGGGAAACTGTCTCCCCGTGACCACGGCTGCTGCAAAGCATCCGAAACGTCGGGCCGAAGTTAAAAATAATTTTCAAATAAGTTTAACTAATATATCGCGTTTTAAACCGTTAAAGTGTTTTATTTAAATGTGTACTACTTGCGTAAACTATAGACAGTATTTGATTAGTACATATTTAAATAAAACACTTGTTAAACTTGTTTGAAAATTATTTTTTTTCTAGAATTATTCTTACATTTATGTTGGATGGTAAAGTGTGACTATATTTTTTATGCACAAAAAAAATCAATTGAATATTGCTCCTTGATCTTGCAATCCCAGCTGTGGGAACTGTTACAAGGCTAATTATGGTAAAACATAGTGTTTCGCCAAGTTTAGATATAGTGACATTATACAACAGACATATATATCTGTATCCTAAAAGCTATGATTAATACTTATTAATTAATCTACAAATTAATCTAGCACAAATATAAATAATAAAAATAAATTTTATCACTGATAATTATATCGCATTAACCAATATTAATTAGATAATTATTTTAATACAATTTTTATCAATACTTGGAAATGTCTCTATCGGCTATTGATCTACACAAATATGTCTCAAATAATTTGAATATTTTTATAATTTTATTTGTTAAATTACATTTTTAAGGAAAACGTTTAGCACAAGTAAACAATAGAATATAGAAAGCCAATTTTAAAAATTAGATTTAGAAAATATTTAAACTATGTGAACACTTAAATAAAACACATTTACGGATTAAAACGCGATATATATTAGTCTCATCGTGACCACGGGTGGTGCAAAGCATTCGAAACGTCAAGCCGTAGTTAAATATAATTTTCAAATAAGTTTAACTAATATATATCGCTTTTTAAATCGTTACAGTGTTTTATTTAAATGTGTACTACTCGCGTATTTAATATAAATAAATATTAAATTAAAATCAAAACCTGCTTTGACGTCTTTTTCAATGTAGTTGAATTTTTACATTTAGAAGAAGATTTAAAAAGGGAATCAGTATTTTCTGTACATTTTTTGCCTATCGTGAACCGTTTTCGCAGCACCGATAACGGAAAGCCTCAAATATGAATCATTTTCCACATTTCCTACTGTTTCTGCGCTCCTATTAGTCACAGCGCACTGTTTAATAGCCTTCCTCGATAAATGCTCTATTCAACACAGAAATAATTTTTCAATTCGAACCCGTAGTTTCTGGGATTAGTGCGTTCAAACAAACAAACTCTTCAGCTTTATATATTAGTATAGATTTAACATGTCTCTATTAAGCTTCAGTTCAGTTTTCTAAACCTGTCTATAGTTTACGAGAGTACATTTAAATAAAACACTTTTACGGTTTACGCGATATATTTGAAAATTATTGTAAACTTACATATATCGCGTTTCAAACCGTTATTTAAATCCTGTATACCTTTTAATGTACATTTAAAATCGGATGTAATTTTACTTGCTATATTAGTTTTGACGTCTAGCCAAAAAATTTAGAGTACAGAGTTCTACAGTTCACCTTTGCGCGCGCGTGGCTTCCAACTTGCTTTAAGTGATTTTGCATTTTTAACGAATAGTCCAATAATTGTACTTTGGTCGACGGTCAGGTAGTGCCTAGTAAGCAATAATTCCTGTTACTAGACCAAGGCGACTCGTTTTATTAATATAAAATTAAAACTGCCATATATTGCAATTTCTTGATGGCATTTGACGAGCTATTAAAAGGAACCGCCTATAGTATATAGAGTAGCATTTCGTAAGGTGGTGCTAGTCCTGAGTTCTCTATCTGCAGCATATATTGGAAATATATGCTGCAGAGCATCCGAAACGTCGGGCCAAAGTTGAAAATCATTTTTAAATAAGCTTAACTAATATATGGAGTTTTAAACCGGTTAAGTGTTTTATTTAAATGTGTACTACTCGCGTAAACTATAGACAGTATTTAAAAATATATTATTTCGATCAGACAGGTCTCTGAAGTGGTTTAAACTACTTGCCTGTAAATAGAACCGATTATTTAAGCGGACATAGAAATGTGGCACTATGTAACGGAATAAAACGCGAATATACTTCTCGAATATCTTTAATTATTTAAATGTTGTTTCACTTTTACAAAACGGATTAAAACGCGGACTGTGTTAATTAATTAAACAGTTGTCATTTCGTTAGCCATTTAGTATGCGTTTAAAAAAGTGTTACTGTTTATTTCTACTCACTAATACATACAACAGGGATGTGTTAATAAACACTAACGGATTAAAACGCGAGCTATATATATATTGATTTACTCCTAAGGCTTGACATTTCTTACATACATATATTACTAATTACATAAATGCTACTTTGAAGTTTCTTTAATTATTGTTACGGTTTAAAAACTAAAATATATTAGTTAACTTATTTTTAATTTACTTAAACGGCTGCTGCAAAGCAATCAAATGTTTAGATTTTTTTAACTGCGTATATTAAAAAAGATATTTATTAAGTGATTATATAGGTCGAGTCATTGTTTTGATCACACATTCGCTTACATTCCAGCGCGTGGCAAGTAATTGAATATTATCTTCATACATACACTAGCTATGCACGCGACTTCATTCGCGTAGTATTGTTAGATTTTAGGCATCAATATTTGTTTTAAATACTGTATGTAGTTTACGCGAGTACACATTTAAATAAAACACTTTTACGGTTCAAAACGCGATGTATAGTAGTTACACTTATTTGAAAATTATTATTTATATTTAAATACGCAACCATTTGAAACATGATTTTTACAAGTTATTGCTTGATGGGATTGTATAAATTAAACATCTATTCCGATTGAAAAAGATCGGTGACCCGGCGGAATTTGAACCGGCATCCACAGCATTCCGTGCTTCAGCAACAACCAATCATAACAATACATATCTGAAAATAAAAAAATATTATTTTTCTTATATACAGCTCTATAGAAATTTTAAAACCTTTTTTGACTGAAAGTAATTATATGACACGGGCGATACTGGAACCGACGACAGCGCCTCGTACTCTTGCTATACCAACTGACACGGTTTGTTTAGTAGTTCGCTTAAAACCTGGAATATATCTTGGTTGCACCGGGATAAAAAGTTGTATTATTTCTTATATATTTGTAGACAAAATGCTATCGCGTTGGGGTATTGTACAATTCCCCAAACCCCCAGAAGATTAATATATAGCTAATTGATAAACACTGTAATAATACTACTATTTTTTCCTAGTTACAGTAGAGAACATTAAATAAAGAATTATAACTTCTACGGGGTTTTTAATTCCTAACATTATTTTGAAAGCTCGAGAGGTTAATTTCACCACACGCTTCATCGCCCCCATGTTCTTAAAACCTTGAGTTCAACCTACATTTTGAATTTAATATTTCTTTAATATACACTCTATGAGACATTTAATAAACCACTTTACCGGTTTAAAATGCGATATATTCATTAAACTTATTTGAAAATACTTATTTTAGTTAAAGTGTTATATTTTAATGTATACTACTTGCGTAAACTATAGACAGTATCTATGAAACATTAAAAATGTAATTTAGCTCATTACAAGAGAAATACCTATCCATTTATCTACACATTCCAAAGAGTACTTAACGTAATCTCTATAATTAGGTAATTAATTAAAAATATTAAAAAAAAACACGGCCCAGAAACATGTCAAGATAAACAACACACCAATTTATATATTATGTTGATTTTATGGTATGTGTGTGTGTTGTAATAAATTATAACATACAAAGATATAAAATACAAAAACAACGAAACACGTTAACGCACTAAACAGTAAAATTAAGATTAAACTATTATTTATAAATAATAAAAGTATAAGTCAAGTAAGTATAAAATCAAGACTGAACAATAGTTTTGAGGAAAACATTGTTTGACTTTA